TAGGACATGAGAGGCCAGGGGTAGAGGCAGGAAATCAACTGGAGAAAATCACTGTGATCCAGAGAGAAGTGAGGGTGTCCAGGACCAGGGTGGAAGAAGATGGTGCGAAGCCTTTAGTTCTGGTGATACTCTGAATGTGAGTCCTGTGCATTTTCTTTTCTTTCTTTTAAAGATTTATTTATTCATACAGAGCTGGGGTACAGGCCAGAGGTACAGGGACAGTGAGAGAATTTACCAGGGACAGAGTGGGGAGCAGAACAGGCAGATTGATAAAGTGCGCTGTTGAGGGGACCAGCAGGCAAGACAGGAGAGGTCTGCCACGCCATGTGGGTCACCTCCGGGGCGGGGATCAACTCTGCACTGAGGTGGCTGCAGCTCCCCTACAGTGCTGCACTTTAACCCACTGCGCCACCAGGGAGGGCCCTCCAGTGCATTTTCTAAAGGGTACATGTGGAACATTTTAATTATGAAACACCCTTAGAAATGTTTATTGTTAGAATCATAACTTTGCAATTAACTGCAACAAAGTATGTGAATGTTTATAATTAAAAACAATGCAGCAATTACTACTGCCAATGACAGAGTTATCCAGTTACCTCTGCTTATGATTTTCATTCTATATTAGCTTCCAGTTTATCACTGTGAGGAAGAACCTATGTTAAGTGGTTAAGTGGTTTCCCAGCACTTTCTATTCCAAAGCACAAATGGAGGATGACTCTAGGCCAATGCTTGATCTTACATTGAGAATGTACTCCAAACGGGTTCCACAGATCATGAGTACAGTTTAATAATGAAAAAGTGGTTCTGTGGTCGAACAGTCCTTCAGAGATTAAAATGCACAGTAACTTGATAGTGTCTGAGTAATCCTGCTACCAAAACCTTTTAACTGTGAACCTCTCCCACCAATCTACCCTTTTCTTCATGTCCCTGTATTAACTGAAAACAGAAACAAAAACCAGACAGACACACACGGACAGAACATTAACTTCTAGCAAAGAGAAACACATTTCTTGACTTAAGAGCCATTATACAATTTACTGCTAAATAATTCTGTTGTGTCCATTTCAAGGTAACCGCAAGGACCAAATGTAATGAGATATACAGAAGTATTCTGCCCCCTTCTCTATAGTATTCAAGCACACGTGCAGGTCCAGTTTTATATAAAGCGAAGACTGAGAAAATAAGTTTCAAACAAGGTGTAAAAATTATCCATGCATTTTGACAGATTTTACAAAGATTTAGGGTGAAGGCTACCTTGAGAGGCTACCAGGTAACCCTGGTGACAGCCAGTCTCATTGTTGTACTAAAAAGGTTGGGCTAGCTTGATTAAAAAGCTACCACTTGGGAAGAGTGACATCACCAAGGTGGTGACACAGGCTATTCCTGATTTGCTCCTCCTCCTGAAGGTTAGGAACAATTCACAGACAAGACATTTCCTAGAAAGCACCAGTCTGAGGTGACTAAGATGGAGTGACTGAGGTTAAAAGGAACAGCTAAATGCCGATCACTCTGCCCATCCCCAAGGCTAAACTAGCACCAGAGAGGTGTCTCCTGAGCCTATGGACCATTAGGAGAGAATAGAGAGGCCAGGGAAGTTATCTAGCTTCCAGGCACTGTGGGAAGCTCCTTGGGAGTCCCCACTCAGTCTTGTATCATAGGGAATGAAAAATAATCCATTGGCCCTCCCTGGTGGCGCAGTGGGTTAAAGCACAGCACTAAGAAGCTTAAGCCACTTCCACATGAGTTCGATCCCCACCTGCCCCGGAGGAGATCCACACGGTGTGGCAGACCTCTCCTGGCCCGCCCGCTGCTCCCCTCAGATTGAAGAAGTCGTCGATCTGCCTGTTCTGCTCCCCACTCTGTTCCTGGTGAATCCTCTCATCCTCCACAGTTCTGTACAAATAAATACCCCAGTTCTGTACAAATAAATAAATCTTAAAAAAAATCTTTAAAAAAACAATCCATCGCCAGTGGAACAGAATTGAGAGCCCAGAAAGAAGCAAGTGCATATACTAATATTTGACAGACGAAGCAGAAAACACTGAATGGGCAAGAGAATCTCTTCAACAAAATGAAAAAGATACCACCTTATGGAATGGGAATATATATTTGCAAATCAAGTAGCTGAGAAGTGTCATTAATGTATAGAATATACAAAGAACCCTACAACTCAATAGCAAAACAAAAATCACCCAGTTAAAAATGGGTTAGGGCCTGAGTAAACATTTTATCCAAAGAAGAGACACACATGGCTAATCCACCCATGAAAATGTGTCTGCATCACTAATTGTTAGGGAAATGCTACAAATCCAAATCACAATGAATCCCTTGGCACAGCTGGTATCAAGAAGCAAGTGGCAACAAATGCAGGCCGGGATGTGGGGAGGAATCCTTGTGCACTGCTGCTGGGAACGTCAGTCCATCATCATGGCAGAGTGAGGAGGGTCCTCAAAAAATTAAAACTAGAACATGATCCAGCAATTTCACTTCTGGGACTATATAAAAGAAAATACTATGTTGAAGAGCATCTGTATGCTAAGTGGGAGAGGCATTATTTACAATAACCAAGATAAGGAAACATCCATCTCCCAGGGCCCCGAGCACCTTCTTCGCTGAGTGCATCAGGATGACTGGAGGCAACACTGTTGTCTGGTGCATCTGAAAGCCACTGAATGCATGCCAGGGAACTCAACGTGAGCAAAAAGCCTTTGTGTGTGTGTGGTTTTTGTTTTTTTTAATCTATATGATTATGGGAATCAACTAAACGTATGGGAATTTTACCACACAGGCCTGTCATTATGTGATATATCTTAAGAGTACACAATGTTTCCTCCCAGCAAACTGGGGAGAAAAGCTATCTTTTGAATTGTGGGTATTAATTTGTTAAGTCAGAAACCAAGTAACCAAAATGAGTGTGAAAGGGTGAAAACCCACTATAATTACAAAGTAAAAAAAGAAAACCACCTAAAATTTATAAACATGAATTGAAATATATAATCCCACATTCTAGATTGCATAATCCATCTATTTCATTTTGAAAACATAGGCACTTAACATTTCCTGAATATAAAAGTACAACATGTACATTATAGAAAATTTAGAGCATAACATGTTTTTTTATCTTGATTCACCAGAGATAACTTATCAGCCATAAAACCCAAGATCATTTCCATTTTTTCTGTCTACGCATATCATAGCTTCCTTTTACACAACTGAGATCATGGTTATTTTTTTTTTTATCTTGCTTTTTTACTTAAATAGGTGATATGATTATCCGTGTCTCTAAATATTATTCAACGATTTTTAATGTCATGTGTATACATCACATACACCACACAAAAAAATTATCATGTGGATACATCACAATTAATCAGTGTTTCTTTCATGACCACTTGGATTTCCCCACCCTTGAGTCTACAAGGATGTACAGGTAGTTTCCAAAATAGCTCTTTATGCATATCTTAAATAATTTCCTCAGGGTAGATTTCTAGATATAAAAATTCTGGGCCAGAGTATACAATTTTAAGGTTGAGAGAAATTTTATTTCTGAGAGGAGTATATTTTTTATCTCATGTTACTCCTTTAGCACTGAGTCCTACCTTAAAAATATTTACACAGTTCTCATTGCTATGTATTTCTCATTTTTTGCTTTGATTTGTATTTTTTTTATTACTACCGAGTTTCAATTTTTTTTCATGTTTCTTGGAGACATTCCTTCCCTGTGAATTTATGCATATTGACTATATTTCTATCTTGCGTGTTCATCTTTTAAAAAAAATTACTCATAAGCATATATTGTGGTATTTTTACAAATGCTTTGTTTTAGTGTTATATAAGATTTTCCAATCAGCAACAGAAGATTCTGTTCTTCCTCCTGCAATTTCATTTGCTAAAAAAAGAATCAATTAAAAATTGGAGGCCAAAATTGTACCTTGAAAAATGACATCAGCCTTACCCCCAAATAGGTGATGGTACCTGGGGGCTCCTCTTCCTACAGGAACATTCCTCAGGAAGTTATTCAGAAGTGTAGCTTTGTTAGGTGGCCTCTGATTCAAACATAATGTCCATTTCATAAGATGGTCAGCATTTTTTGTTTTTTCTTTGGCTTTGACTCTGCCCTGTGACATGAAGGTCCAGTGATCTTGGACCTAGGAATTCAACTGGGAAGCTGAAAGATGGTGCAGGAGTAGACAAAGGAATATCCAGCTCAGAGCAGGTTGATTTTCACATACTTTGTTTCCGGGTGGTCCAGTGTGGCAGTCCTATTAGCACAAAACTATTGTTTGGATTAATTCCATTTACATACATACATACAACTGTGAGAAGAACAAATTTGCCTATCATGGACGTTCAGTAATTGGTTGCTCAAATACTCCACAACTGTTGTCTTTACACTGGGTGTGGTGGAGATGGTGCACATCTATAGAACTTCTGTGGCATCATCTAAGTCACTTAGAACGATTTGATATGAACAGATTTTCCACAGTGACAAGAAACATACTTGAGTTTCTTTTCTCTCTCCATTTCACAGCTCCTGTCTACCAGTCACTGGCAGAAGTCACCAGTTCTTTAGCTAAGAAATACTGCTTTCCAAAATCCTTTGGCAGAATCTCCTAGAGATTTGTTTTTCTGCTTCTTCTTAATTTAGAAACAGTCTTCAAAGAAAAAAAAAAAAAAAAAACCCTGACAAATCGATGTGAGAAGAAACTACCTCTGATTTAATTTTTATTTCTTTCATGGAAAGTTTCAGAGTTTATCATCTACAAACAATAAAATTGGACAAGATAATTTTTTGGGGAAAAGTAAACAAAAAGTGTGTATTCCAAAACAAGACTGTTCTTTAGTTTCTTCAAAAAACAACACGATACAAATTCAAGATTTTATTAAAACCTTTTGTAAGTTCAATTAACAATATCTTGGTGGCGAAAGAATATTTTTATTTTAAAATAATGTGTTATGTGAATAACCAGAAGAGTGAAAAGTATCAACTGTGACAGTGAAATGCTTACATGATTTTAATTATTCTTTTGATAATAAACAACTTTGTGAACATCTATTCAAGGCACTGTAAGCTGATCCATGACAGAATCTGCTGTTGAATTAGGGCTTTGTTCCCTACCTTGGGCAATTTTAAGAAAACAAATACAAATGGTTTTAAGAATTTATAAAAAAAAAATCTACCACCTACCAAAATGATTTAAAAGGTAAGGTGATAAGCACTAGAAAGAGAAAGTGAAAGGGGGGGGGGGAAAGCCACACACATTGCATTTATTTGCAGGATACAACAACAGAGAAGTAATAATGAGAGACGGGACCAGAAGTCCAGGCTGTGCCAACCCCTTATTTGTTCTTGGCTGTCAGAGGTTTCCGGCTGATCTTTTTTGATTTGTCATTATTTTTCTTCGGCGGTTCTGGGTTTGCCTGCATATGTCTGCCGTAGAGGCTGCAAAGAGAGAGGAGGGAAACCATGAGCTCCATCTATTAGCAGAAATAAGCTGCTACTGGCAGAGCTGTAAGCCAAAGACTCATCTCCAAAGATCACTTCTGTTTTCTCTGGGTCACACAGTATATTAAGAACTTAAACCATGCAGCTGCCACAGGTCTAATTCTGGACAAGCCCCTGCAATGTCACACTCCCTGGGCAGGGTGTGAAAGCACGGGAGGAAGAGATTCAGTTTTGTGAGCTGAATGCTCAGCTGAGTTGTTCCTGACTGAACTCACAGGCCAGGAGTGTTTAAGTCGACAGTGACAAAAATTGGGAGGAACTGGCGAGACAGAGTGTCCATTTAGTGTAAAGTGAGCATCGTGCCTGCCCGAGAGCCCAGGGGCTGGCTAATGCGACAGAGAGCAATGGTGTCCGAGCGTGCTGGCTGCTCCCACATGATTGATTGTGCTGGGATGGCGGCTGCACATCAATGCACGTTAATAAGTCCTGCTGATTAAATGTTGACAAAGTACCCTACAATTACAGTGGATGGCATCCATCGCAGGCGACGCTGGTGCTGTGGCTGAGGGGATTGAACTGAACAGGAGATGGTAATTAATGGATAATTTATGAGTAATTCTGATTAAACTAAATTAAAAGTCACCCTAAAATAAACACAGCTCAACCATAACTGCCCTTAATGATATGACTGTGTCCCTGACAGAGCCGATGTGCACCTCAGTTCCTCAGGGCGTTCACTGCCTGATCATTTTTGTGACTGTCTTGTGCCAACTCAGTGAAAGTGACTGACTCCAAGGCTGGCCTTCCTAGGCCAATCCCTCTTCTGAGGTCCACTCAAGAGATAGATATGTATGTGTCAGGCTTGAAGTCTGCCAGGCAAACAGTGGCCATGCGCCGTGAGGCACAACCTGGCATCGCTGATGCTACTGATGACTCCACCCCAACTTTGAGGCACAGTCCGGCACATGGAGCTGCCCAACGGATTTACTGGTTAGGGGAAATTGGACACTGGGGTTTGGTCAGATTGCACCATATTCTATTTTCTTCACAGGCTTCCATGTTCTCTGAAGCATGACTATGACAGTTCTACTGATGCTGATCATGAAGCTAGGTCTCTGCTCTGAGAGAAAACTTAAATGCAGAATCTGAAGTTGGCAGCAGACCAGAAGTCCATAGAGCCAGGTGTTGCAAAGTTGTCCAGGTAAAGGGAAGGCAGAGCTCTTGTGTTAAGCAGGTATCGCATGTTCTAGAAAATTAGCATTAGTACTTACAAGTTTGCTCTTAATTTGTACAGCAGTTAAGGGTTTTGAGGTGGGAAGATTATCCCATACTCTCCAGAGCTGGACAGTTCCAACCTCTGTATCCACTACCCTCAACCTCTGAGCATCGCTCCCAGATGCATCAAATTGGGAGAAGAAACCTTGGCCAAAGTAGATCTGCTGCTATGTTCCTCAGTTTTATTAACACATTTTGCTGAAGCATATTCTTTGAGTCCTCTCCTCTTCCTAGGATGCAGCTTTTCTCCAGCTCATGGCTCAATCAATGCTACAGGGTAATGTCCCTGAACACCTCTGGTCACCAAGGGCCTCTCGCCTGGCCCAAAGTGGAGGTATGACTTAGTTCTGTGCCTGCAGTCTCAGGCTCTTTTAGCTATACAGCTTCCTCACATGCTTGTGAGTCTGTATTCTAATTCTCTAATCCCTTATTCCCGTAAGGTCAGAAATACACACATCTTTACAGACATGAAACTTCAAGGGTTACTAAAATCTGCAGATGACAACTCCACAGTTCACATGCTTGTTAACCAGGGAGTGCTTTGGTGCTAGCTAAGTGCCACTGGCAGAAATAAGAAGTCAAAGGCAAAAGGGAATGAAGATCTGATATGGGCCTGCTAAATGCCATGTCTTGAAGAAGCAGACACAAAAGGCACTCCAGAATGGGTGGCCCTGTGAGCAATGTCATGTCAGAAGGGGGTGAAAATGCTGCTCAGGACTCAGCAAGGCTCTTTTCATTTTTAGGCAGGGGCGGGAAGGTTCCAGTGTTTCAATGCCTGCCTTTGTATATGCAGACCCCACTGTGCGGCTGGGTTGCTTATCACATCACTGCAAAGGGCAGGCTGGAGTCAGTGTCTGTAACTTGTGGTGGAACTCCAGGTTTTACCACTTACTAATGGCTGACTTTGGGCAGATGATTCACACTTCTCATCCCATCGTGCCTCAGTCTCTTCATCTGTAACAATGATTATGTTTTCCTTGCAGTGTGACTGTAATGGCTAAATATGCCTGGCACCATGGTCAGCTGAATGGAAGCGACCAGCAGATGCCTGGTGAAAATTAGGGCTGATGTGTGATTATAGTCAGAGTGATTAAATAAAAACAACTGCATGATTATGTCTTTAGGACTTTTCTTCAGAAAAATAATAGGGTATATTATATCAACGCCAAATCACCAAGCGTCTCTAGAAGAAAGGCTTTAATCCTTTTTGAAGAAAGCAACTAAGCAAGCTAAATGCATTGCCCCACTTCCTTAGTGAGTCACTGGCAAGCAGGGATGACGCCGGCCTTCTCGGCGTGATCCTTGCACTGCTCCTGCTGTGTGGGCAGAAGAGAGTCCATCCTTTACTAAGCGGCCATCCCCAGCATGGAGGCGTAGCTGGGGCAGAGGAGGAATCGCCAGCTTAGGGCAGAAGCCCTGGGTTTCATTTCTGCCTTTCCCTTTATGGGGCAGCTTTAGCATCTCGGGGACGACATCTCCCCCAGGTGTCCACATTCTAACCCCTGAAACCTGTGAATGTGTTACCATGAATTGCAAGAGACTTTGCAGAGGGGACTGAATGAAAGATTATTCTTTTAAAGATTTATTTATTGACGTATACAAGAACTGGGGTGTATGCCAGAGGTGCGGGAGGGTGAGAAAATTCACCAGATACAGAATGCAGAGAACAGGCAGACTGACTGAAAGGCACTGCTGAGGGGAGCAGCGAGAGGATCAGGAGAGGTCCGCCATGCCTGAATGAAGGATTTTGAGCTCCAGATAACAAAGCCCCGAATCAAGCAGAGTTGTACCTATATAGTCACAAGGGTTCTCACAGGGAGGGAAGCAAGAGGTTAAAGTCAGAGAGACCTTTGAAGGCTGTGAAGGAGGAAGGGCTACCAGCCAAGGAATGCAGGTAGCTTTTAGAAGCTACAAATGCAAGGAAGCACATGTTCTTCTAGCGCCTCCTGAAGGGCCTCAACCCTGTTGACACTTGCATTTCAGATTTCTGACCTTCACAGCTGTAAGACAATATATGCTTTGCTTTTAGTTCCTCAGTTCATGGTAATATGCTACAAACAATAGGGATGAATCAGTAAGTAAAACCTGAGGATTCTATTTAATTTTAGCAGGAAAAATAACTTCCAGAATAGCAGCTCAATGAAGAGGAAAAGGTTCAATATGAAGTTTCAGAAAGGGGAACATGTTCCCCAAAAGAAAGTGGATGCTACCTCTAACAGAAGAAGTTGGAAGAGTGGACCGACTGTCTCCTATTTACTACAGACTGGATGGTTCACACTCCTTTCATTCACTGCTCAAGACCCATATTTTTAATGTATCTGACAAAGTAATTTATAGAGTGACCACACAGAGAGGTCAAAGCTACTGAGACAAGTTTTGTTACACACAGTTCCTGAGAGGGGAGGCCCTCTGCACCAAGCAGCACCACCTGGGGAGGTCCCAGAGTCAGTCGCCTGGAGGAGGAGAGAGCTGGGAGGAGGAGAGAGCTTTCGCTGTGATTTCAGGGACAGGAACAGGTGAAGAAAGGGAAGCCAGTTTGAGCGAGCGTAGGATTGGACAACATGAACAAGCTCTGCAGGCCCTGGGTTCCTGGAGGAACTCACCTGGGCATGGGGTGGGGGAAAATACTGCTTTGGCGTGTGTAATTCCAAAAAGGGAAGTGGCTGGGGGTATGTGCTCTGGAGTGGCTGGTTTGTGTACAAAAGGCATGCTTGCAGGCAAGTTCTCTGCCATCTCTGGGAATTAGCTAGCCCTGGGAAGAAAAGTCTCTCCCCAACCAGCAAGACTGCCCTACATCCAAGTATCATAAAATATAGGAAATAAGAAACATGATTAATTAATACAGGCTACTGTCATCAGAATATATTCTGCCCCTGGCCACCTTATATCTTCTCTTAGGCTTTATTTTCCCCATGGTGAAATGTAGCTTCTCTTGCTCCTGTTCCACCTGGGGAGAGCCCAGCTTCCTCTGGGACTGGTATGCTTTCTTCCCCACATCCTGCTAGCTCCCTGTCCTGTCCTACAGTGGCCCCAGCACCCTAACCTGGGGAATCTTGGAGGATGGTCCCCAGGTTCCACACACCCCTGCATCCCGATGCCCGCTCTGCCCTGAATGCCACGTGACTCTGGGGAAGTGACTGGCTTATCACAGTCTTACGTCTTAAATCTGCAAAACTAGGATGAAAACTCCCAGTTACCCTGCAGAGCTGGCAGGAAAGTTAACTCAGATCTGGAGAATACCTTGTTGACGTGGGCATCGAGGTGTTCGGGTGGCAGGCCACCTCAACCTCTCATGGAGACCCGCGGCTAGGGCTCCGCCGACCAGTTGATCACTTCTCACATGAGCCTAAGCACAGGCGCACCCACTGCCTGGCTTTGCCACCATGTGCTTTTGTAGTAGATCCCCTCTAGGGTGGCTGCCCATGGGCACTGAAATCTGGTCAGGCCAGCTGGAGAGCACTGTTGAAGAGCCTGGGTGAAAGGTCATCCAGGGGCAGCAGCCAGAGGCAGGCAGATGCTCTACCCAGAAAGTGAGGGGCCCTAGTCTCAGAGTTGATACTCTACAGAGGGTTTATAGAGGGTAACTGGGAGATGACTAAGGAGGGGAGGAAACCAACAAAGAACAATCTAAAGTGATAGATAAGGATCAATCTTCGCTTAGGAGACTTTTCAAGAAGCTGCAGGTGATAACTGAGTCAGCACTGCTCGACTCACAGGGCTCC